TTAACTGAAACGAAAAAGACACTTTGGTTCTTGATTGAAGAAAACCATATATAGCCATTAGACGAAATATTTAACAAAATATCATCTTTCTCTGCCAGATCCCAATACTAGCGTTGTTCATGTCATGGAAATCGTCGATTTACTGTTATTTTTTTTATATAACTTCGCATTTCTATTTGCAAATGTTTTCGAGTAGACGTAAGAAGCATTCCGATATGTACCCACAAATTGACAAGCCAACAACACCTCGGACAGGTGTGGAGGTGTGGTGTGTGAACAACTCCCGCCTGGACACCACACAGTCCGAGCGCGTGTCCTGGGGGTCACCACTGAGTAATCGGTTTGTCAGAGTCGCGGTAGACAGAGCAAATATCCTTAATCCGCGAGCGTCCACTGTTGGTTGAGCTCGATTAGTGCAACGGAGGCAACAAATTGCCATTCATAAAGCTGTTAAAAGGAATTTGTCCCGTCAAGCAACATACAAGGCATCTTCAAATATATTACAGCTTTAAATAAAACATTTTAATAATTTTAAATGATTAGGAATTAATTAAGAAATAATTACACTTTGTTCAATGGTCGCATTTTCTATTATAGTGTTACATTTGGTCACAGAAAAAAATGTGAAAATGTCGATGAGACTGAAATAGGCGTATTTTAAAATGTTATATACAGGTGCGGCATTAGTGCGTCGAAGTACGATATCTCCTTTATTATAGAAGATATCAAAAAATGTTATTTACAAAAATTGTAGCCAACTTAAAATTGCACATTTTAAAATTATTTTCGTATATACATGGTGTTACATGTTACCAGAATGAACCAAACATATTATTTTTTAAATGGGACACCCTATATATTATTTCAAATTTAGATTAATGCTTCCAGTATAAGGTTTAATTATGTTATACAGGGTATTTCAAAAGTTATGGTCAATTGTATACGAGAATCATTCCCATTTCAGCGTCTTGTATACCCCAAACAGAACAGCTTAACAATAATTTTTTGCAGGCATAACTTTTTGATACTTATTGGTACAATTTTACGAGAAACTGCTATTTCTTTATTATTGCAACAGTTGGTAAGCCAAAACTCGAGCTCATAATATTCTCAATTTTTTTTAAATGAATCACCCTGTATTTTATTTTTAAAACTGAAAATACACTTTATGTTCTTTTATTTTTATAAAGCATTCCCTATAGCTAAAATCATTAATTTCTGAGATATGTACCATTTAATAACAAAAAGAGAGTTTTTTAAAAATTCCTATTATAACAAGTTGGCCGTGGGCAAATGACAGTATGACAAATTGTTACAAAACATTACAAAATATCCATTGTTAAGACGAAATTCTTATAATATTAACCAACTTGTTATAATAAGATTTTTTTTAAAACTCTTATTTTTTTATTAAAAATGGTAACTATCTCGGAAATTAGTGATTTTAGTTATAGGAATTGCTTTATAAAATTGAAAGAACATAAAGTGTATTTTCAGTTTTTAAAATAAAATACAGGATGATTCATTTAAAAAAAATTGAAAAAATTATGTGCTCGAGTTTTGGCTCGCCCTATATTCAACTGTTGCAATAATAAAGAAATAACACTTTCTCGTAAAACTGTACCAATATCAAAAAGTTATGCCTGCCAAAAATTATTGTTAAGTTGTTCTGTTTAGGGTATACAGAACGCAGAAATGGGAATGATTTTCGTATACAATTGACCATAACTTTTTAAATACCCTGTATAACATAAATAAACCCTATATTGGAAGTATGGGAGAGATGAGCTTAATCTAAATTTGAAATAATGTATAGGGTGTCCCATTTAAAAAATAGTATGTTTGGTTCATCCTGGAAATATTAATACTCTGCATATACGAACATAATTTAAAATATGCAGTTTTAAGTTGGCTACAATTTTTGTAAATAACTTTTTTTGATATCTTCTATAATAACGGAGATATCGTACTTCGACGCACTAATGCCGCACCCTGCATGTAGGCTGTCGCAGGAACGTGACGTACCATTACTCCAATCGAATTAGAGGTTGAACGTGAAAAAAATATTTGTAGACATTTTATTGCACTTTATGACGGGGAAGGGTATGTAGAATGATATTATCAAAAAAGTAACTTAAAAGAAGTGACGCTAAGTTGGCAAATTGCAAATAAGTGGTAAATTTGCGTGATTTTTTCACTTTTGTTTACTGCCCACGAAAATAATAACAATAACAATAACAATAACAATAACAATAACAATAACAATAACAATAACAATAACAATAACAATAATAATAATAATAATAATAATAATAATAATTTCCAACAGGTAAACCCAATTACAGGAAATACATAGCAAATGAAAAATAATAATAAAGAACAGTTACCAGATAATCATAACAAAACCACTGAGTTTATTTTGACAAAATCTATTCTGTATAAGAGAAAAGTTGAAAAAATAAATAAATAAATTTGACTAACTAGGTGTATCTAGAACTGCTCGTTATTGTAAACAACGTGTATTGTATTTAGTGATGAAAAATTAATATCACACTGATTACAGATTTTATTAAAATGATAACATGCATTATAAATAGGTGCTTTAAGTAAAATATTAGTTCTAGGCCTATCACAGTAAAAAGTTTGGTTATATTTTGAACCCGTATGCGGTACTAAAAATTGTATCTTACTAAGGAGACTACTACAATTTACGTTATTATGGATTAAATTATACAAAAATGATATAATTGACCATTTCCGTCGCCGATCAAGAGAAATAGTATCAAATCTGTCCAATAATATTTGATTATCAATACCCCTGGCGGAATAGGTGCCATCTTCCTTAAAAGAAATATATTTTAAAAACCGCCTCTGAACAGATTCTATACTATCAATGTGACACTGATAAATTGGGAATTGGGAATTGATCCATACTCAAGCTTACTCCTAACCAAGGTATAATACAAAATTTTTAAGGTGCTAATATTTCTAAAATCTTTGCAGTTCCTTAATATAAAACCTAAAGTCCTATTGGCATTACTAACTAAATGATTAACCTGAGTAACAAAGGTAAGTTTAGAATCAAAGAAGATCCCTAAATCTTTTATGCAATCACTTCTTGAGATTGTAATATCATTAAGTGTATAATCATAATTATAAATTTGTTTTTTCCTGGAAAATGATACTACATAACATTTGTTTATACTTAACATTAAACGATTTGAATTACACCATTTGCCAATTAAGTTGGCTTGATTCTGCAAATATCTACAATTTTCCTCATTCTCAATACTTGTAAAAATCTTTAAATCATCTGCAAAAAGAAGATTATTACAAGATATAGTATTCGGTAAATCATTAACAAACAAGAGCAACAGTAAGGGCCCTAAATTCGAACCTTGTGGAACGCCAGAAGTAACTTTAAATTTTGACGAAGTGAAACCCTCACACTTAACAAACTGTTGTCTCTCTGTTAGGTACGATTTAATAAAATTAACAAAATTATTTGATAACCCAATGCTATCAAGTTTAGCAAGTAACACGTAGTGATCAACCTGGTCAAATGCTTTGCTAAAATCCATATATAACACATCTAGACAACTATAGGAAATTTAGTCATTTTATTCTGTAGGCAATTAAATTATCTGCAATTTAACGTATCTAAAGTCATATTTCACCAATTTGTTAACTATAAAATAAGGGTTGAACGCGGAAAAATCAGTTTTCGAAAATTGTGCATTATTATTGCAAAAAACCATGGATGTTGATGAAATTTATAGAAAAGACGGTCAATCCAAAGACCAACATGTATCCCAAAGCCCAATTTGATTGAACCTGAAATTGTTGCTCCAGGTATTTGTTAATTAATTTCGTTCGTTTTCTTGCAACTAATTGTTTAATTACTAAACGTTAATTTTAGAAGTTATATCATAGATATAAAAATTTCAAAAAGTTGAAATTAAGTTGCCCTCTACAACCAACAAAGGATGACATGTAAAACAGCGTTATAAACAAATTGTCCCAGGGTCAGTCAAAATCCGCTCGGGAATTCGCTCTTTTTGCATTAAATAGAGCTTATTTTTACGGTAATTAAAATAAAACAAATGTTACAAGGTAAGTTATTTTACGTATAGAACCAAAATTTTTCAGACAATTAAAGAAATAATTAAACTTTTATTTTCAGAAAGTTAATAATTAATTAGTAGTTCATGTAATAAACGCGCTAGCAGCAGTAAAAGTTAACGTTAATGAACGGCCTGCTCGCGGGAGAAGGAGCGCCAATAAAGTAACAAAAAATCATTTATTTTGCAGCTAATATTAAGAAAAAACATGATAGTGTTTTTGGTCATTACCCCCAGATTAAGGCTATTAATGGATTGGGACGATTTAATTACACCGAGAAATACCCTGAATGCAGGAAAATATACCTAAATGCACAATGCAGCAACTGTAAATACTATTCGAAATGATTTAAATAAAAATATTTACATGGAGATACTAATCTTATTAATAACTGGAATTTTTCATTTATTCTAGCTTACGCCGAAATATTATTTTATTATTTACGTGAAAACAGTGACGCACCAGGAGACTGGTGTCCTCACAATATTACTAAAACCTTGTCTTTAATGTGAAGTATCGACAATAATATATAAAATAAATAAATGAATAATTTAATCAATCTATTTATTTTCTAATTTATTTCATCAAGTTAAGCGTAAATCTATATGCGTCTTTAATTAAGATCTATTTTTTCTTCGTGTTTATTTTTAGTTTATATTTACTTTTTGTTACCTCTTCTGTATAGTGTACACACATTTCCAATCTATTGAAATTTTTGACAAGATACTTACCTTAAATATATAGAAGCTTTTTGCCCTATTACAAATTCATCACAAAAAGTTCCATAGCGAACACATGGTTCGAACATTAAATTCAAGCAACTTATCTTGAGAATTCAGGCGTCGACTCCTTTTTTTAATCCTGCCTCTCGTTTGCAGCGCTGATGGGAACTACGAGGTGACGATAATGACTAAAGCAATCCTTCACCACACGGGCAAAGTAATATGGAAACCGCCCGCCATATATAAATCATTCTGCGAGATTGACGTGGAGTACTTCCCCTTCGATGAGCAGACGTGCTTCATGAAGTTCGGCTCGTGGACTTACGACGGGTACATGGTAAGGAATTTGTCTTTGTATTACAGCTAACACATCGGGACATCCGGATAATGTCAGTCGTGAAATGTCTCAAAGATCTTGTAGCTTTTACAATATGTGGTAACGTCGTCTAGATAAATAATGGCCATAAATGCTTTTATAGAGTTCTAAAAAAGGATAGAAATTACCAGATAATACAAAGCTGATACTTAACTGATAAGGAGCATCGAAAAAAATGAAGCCACCAATCCGAAAATAACCCTTACGAAAATTGTTGGGTTCTAAGGGGGACACGAATGGTGACCTTCAATGTGACCTTGACGAAGAAGAAGTACCTTAAGTACCTATCTAAACGTAAAATTTTACACTCTTTCTGAAGCCTGGGTCAAAAATACAGGTTCCTATTTATAAAATTAGATTTGACCTTCAAATGACCTTGCAGGTCAAGATTAAGGTCAAATCGAAGGTCACCATCCGACATCCCCCTTCGAACCCAATAACTTTCGTAAGGGTTATTTTCGGATTGATGGCTTCCCTGACGAGATATTCAGATAAGTAATTTAAAATATTTTGTCTTTGAAATAACCTTTTAAGGTCATTCAAAGAAGAGCCTTAAGCACCTACGTAATATTTTGCTCTCCTTCCGAAACCCGTGTCAAAAGAAGAAAATTAAAAAACATTAAATTTGATCTTCTGATAACCTTGGAGGTCAGTATAGATATAGAATATCTATACTTTGTGACGACAATCAAGTAAATAAACAGTAGTATTCTATATTATAAACGGCAGTACTAAATAGAGATAGGCTAAATCTGCGATCAAGCCACTGATACACAGTGCTACTGACGGCCATAAAAATACGTGCCATACACTCGACCAAGCAAAGCGTCATACTCACTCTCACACGCACAAACGACAATGAAATGCACATCCAACGTCCCCAGCAAAAAAAATGGGATTATTCACCGACAATCCAGGTCGACAGGTAGGCATTAGGGTGCCGCTAGATACGCATTGAATAAATTGATAGATGCGAAGCTTCAGATCAGAGGCAGACATATACAAAAGTGTAAATAAACATCTGATATCACTAAAACACCTAGTACTTTTTTATTAAAGATATGTCAAAACACATTGCAGCTGTGCAGATTAATATTTCAACTAATTAAGACAACTGAGGTGTTTAGCTATATTTCCAAATTGAATCTTTTATATCCATAATTTCAAAATGCCTTACTGCATACAGGGTGGTGAAAATTTACAGCGAGTTTAGGTATTTTCAATTAAGCTTCCACTATTTAACGATCTTCATGTCCGATTAAAATTTAAAAACAAAAAATGGTGGAGGCGCCTATCGATGTGCACTGTGATATAAAATTACAAATATTTCCTAAACTGTTAATTTTACCGAGTTCGAGCGAGAGGGTATTATCGTTGGCAAATTCTTCAGGGAACTTATTTTTTATACAGGCCGATTGCGACCGTCATCTATGCAAGAATTCTGGGTTGTTTACCATTGGGCACAGTCCGTCCCTTGCGTTCTGGCCATAATGAAGTTTCACTTACAACATCAAAAACGAACTGTACCTACGCATGTATTATCGATCACCAAATTCGCATCATGCTGAAGTTAATAGTTTAGAGACTGTAAATAAAAATAAATTTTTAATTTTCACCTTTGAGGGCCCGTAACTTGTTAACGAATGCCCATATGAAAAGAATGTATATGAAGAACTGATATTATTTTGATCTCATCTATTTGTACCCGACTGTTTTGTATAAAGTACTGGGACACCCTGTATATACTATGGTAAGTTCCGTGTAAAGAATTAAGTGTAGAAAAATTGACACTGTCCCTTTTTTCATACTATTATGCAAGTACTTACACATATATTGTGTCACTTTTTGTTACCTAGCCTACAGCCAACCCTGTACCACATTGTAGCCGCATCTCTAGACATAACCTAACCTTTTTGAGGTTATGTTTCATGCAGTGTCTGTGTTGTATTATAATGTAAAATTTCATTGTACAGAAATAAAGTGCTCTAGTTAAGTGTCACCGAGAACGACTGTTTTTGAGAAACACGCAACTGACTATCCCATAGTCAACCAGCCTCCGTTGCTCAATGTGTTTGGAAAAAGAAACGAATGGAGGACACTTCAGGGAAGTTTCCTTGGATGAAAATAAATCGATTTAGATTAAGTTGCCCTAATACACTTTTACTTTTCTAACAAGTTAGGGGCCTTTAAAAAAATTAGTTTACGGAATCTCTGTATATTAAGAATAGAAGGGTCTCGATTTTATGGCAGTTTTCAGAAATTTTAATTTTTTTACCTTTTTTGTGTAAAATGAAGTATAGGACATACACTATAAAAAAAATCTAACCTCAAAAAGTTGTCATATAATATCAGTGAGAGACATAGTAGCTAGCGCCCTCTAGCACTCTAGCAGAAAATCTAGAATAAATATATGAGGTCACTAAACCATTTGCCAAGAACTACAAAACTACGATATAATGTAACATTTTCGAGTATATTATAAATTGGTTTTATTCTAATATTGAAAATAATAATTCATCTTCATTCATCGCTTTAGCGTTGGTTATCACTTTCATCGATTTCCATCTTAGAGAACACCACTAAAATCCAGATTTATGTCGTCTACCGACAACTTCGACAGGAATTCGATACTCGCTACTCCGAATACAAAAATAAAAGTCTCGACAAAGTTAGCTAGTCACAATGTATTTACAGAATAAAACTTGTATAATGACTTTGTAAACAAAGGCCTGTTTAGTGTCGTTTCCATTTTATGGCTTCTTTTCCTTTACATAGTTAGAAGGACAGACATCGGAGCGGTACTTAATTAAATGTTTGAACGCTTCCGTTGTTAGTTTCTTTTATGAAGTTTAGAGTAAACTAATTATAATGGCTAGTCATTAAATAGTAATTTTTTCATTGAAAAGCGTTTAAGAACTAATCGAGGCTTTAACTTTTTTATTTACGCTCAAAATTGCTTGACTTAAATATAAATCACATTTAAAAATAAACTAGTTTGGTAACCACGTCATTAGTTGATGATTCTAGAAACGTAGCGCCTTCTTCAGAAAAATTTGAAACTGAAGATTAATTCATCAAGTCAGTATTGGTATTTGCTGTGTTTATTTCTCCATGATGTTCCGATGCACGATTTAAAATCATTGGTCTGAACGGTTCCATGTTTTTTACGGATAGATCATTTTCTTATTTCAGTTTTAAGCCTTCATCTTAGTTAAAATTATTTTGTTATTACTGGATTCCTATTGGTTCCCTGTAAAGATTTGGCCAAAATCTTCTATCTTTATAGAATTTTGGCATAACTTAAATATGTTGAATGCCCTGATTGCCCTGTGTAAGGTACCTACACTACAACAACTATTTTTTCCATTAGTAGAGCTAACTTAAACCTAGTCGGAATAGCACACTAATACGCGACCTCGCGATTTTCATGGTCGTTGATTATATAAATTGAAAAACAATTCAAAATCTTATTATTCTAAATAAACTATGCGCTCGTTAGAATTGTTAGTTCCAGTATCTAATAAAATGCTTAATTTTTTTAGTATGATAAGGTTGCGAAAGTAATTCAAGCAAGGAAAACAGTAGGCTTTCTCAGATTGCTTTCAGAATTTCTTCAGAAGAGAGATATATCTTTAAGCATGGTACCAAAACTGTAACCAATTTCCATCCAACAGAAAGAAAGGTCGTTCATTGGAATGATCGCTCTAATAACAGAGCCACACAAATAAAAATTTTTTCGAGTCCGAATGTCAGACTATTTCTACGATATGTTTTCGGGGTCGCTGAATCCGAATCCATGATCTATTTAACCCCATCACGTCAGATTTTACCGATAACCGCATATCACCTCATAACCCAAGCTGTCAGGTCCTATTACACACAAGGGTCCTGTAAAGAGAGCTGTGCACCTACAATACAGTCAATATCATATATATTCTGATGATGAAACTGGAAGCCAATAACGATATAGACTAGATTCCTTGCATCAAACAATCGAACTACTGCGTAACGTGATTATGGGGTCATGGATTTATAGGGTTGGGGATTGTAGGGTTAAATATATTCTGTTTATAGAGCCCTGATATATCACGCAATGAGAGAGCAAACTACTGAATAACGTAGTTATTGGAGTTATCGATTATGGCATTATGGGAATATATGGTTATGGGGTTAGGAAGTTTGAGGTTAAATGTATTAGGATTATGGAATTATTGTGGGTGCACAGTCCCCTTTACAGGACCGTCGTGTATAATAGGGCTTAACATCTTGGGTTATGAGATGATATGGGATTAAACATGATGTGATGAGGTTAAATGATCACAGATTCGGATTTAGCGACACCGAAAACATATGGTAGACACAGTCTGACTTTTTTGTGTGGCTGTGTAATTTTTCCTCTCACAGGTCGATCTACGACATCTACAACAAGTCCAAGACTCCAACAAGATCGACGTAGGCATAGACCTGCAAGATTACTACATATCAGTGGAGTGGGACATCATGAAGGTCCCCGCTGTACGCAACGAAAAATACTACTCCTGCTGCGAGGAGCCCTACCCTGACATCATCTTCAACATCACCTTGAGAAGGAAGACCCTCTTCTACACGGTGAACCTCATTATTCCCTGCGTGGGGATATCGTTCCTGTCCATACTGGTGTTTTACCTTCCTTCAGACTCCGGGGAAAAGGTGTCGCTCTCCATCTCGATCCTGCTATCTCTCACTGTGTTCTTCTTACTGCTGGTGGAGATCATCCCTCCTACTTCCATTACAGTGCCTCTGCTAGGTAAGTAAAGTAAACGGTATTACTGATTATACATATCTTATATCAATAGTTATCCTTCGAATAATATCAAAAATATGCTTGCAAACATATAAGATATTATTTGCATGAAATATTACCAATGCGTCATTCAGGATTTCGTCTAAGTTATAGTTGTACAACAACATTTTCGCAAGTACTAGATGATATTGTAACTGCTATTGATAATAATTTAACTGTCTTACTGAATTACATATATGTAGTAAAACGTCTAATGGTGTTAATCTTTAGCTACTTTTTGCAATGCCCCATTAAATTACTAGTACTAGATGATATTGTAACTGCTATTGATAATAATTTAACTGTCTTACTGAATTACATATATGTAGTAAAACGTCTAATGGTGTTAATCTTTAGCTACTTTTTGCAATGCCCCATTAAATTAATTTTAATTCTAAATCAATGTCTCTAATTAAAAATTCTGTTACTGGCTGAAACATTGTGTGCATAATAATCAATATTGTCATTACCAGGTTATTTAATATCGAAGGGCCGCAAATGTCTGTTTTAGGCCCCTTATCTTTACGATTTATATCTCTTAGTTTGAAAAAGTTCTATCTCTCTGCAAGTCGTACTTTTAAGCTAATGCCACACAAACATACATATTATTCTTTCAATGAAAATACTTTCAGCCTTATAAAATTTAATAGTATATTGTTACATTAGGATTAAAAGTGTGACTTTTGTGGCGAGCAAATTTTGAATTTTCGAGACTAGGCGTAACGTAGCCGAGCGGATGCAAAATTACGAAACAAAAAAGACACTTTTAATACGAATAAAACATGCTATTTTTTCTCTAACCGAAATTCCCCCTTTAATAATTATTAATTTGTGCTTTGAAATTATTCAAACCAATTTGAATAATATAGCAAAATATGTAAATACCATGTTCTTTTACTGCACTGGTTGACAATTATTTAAGTTTTTATCGAAAATATGTTGCTTTACGTCCACCCGGATTGGTAGAACGTGGATTATTATTTCCTAGATATGTTAGTGGAAAGTATCATCGAATGGTGGTCGGTATTCATAAACTCAGTGCCGTCTCGTAAGAAGTGGCAAAATTTTTTAAGCTGGGCAACTGGAAAGAGTACAGGGGACACACATTGCGACGAACGTCTGCTACCCTTTTAGTTGACGGCGGTAGTGACCTCACTTATCTTAAAAGTCGCAGAGAATGGAGATCGAGCACTGTAGTGGAAGGCTACTCACTTTTGAATAAAGAAAATATTGGGAAAAGAATACTAAAAGTTGAATAGGTACTTGTTCAAAGCTTATCAATGTGAACAAACAAAAATTTTTGTAAATAATGTTGAATAAACTTTCATAAATTAAAACTATATTAACACTTTAAGGATTAAACTAGAAAGGTAGGCAAACTTCGCTGACGCGAAGTTTGACCTTTCTCTCGGGCCTTCGGCCCTCGGGGCGCGCTGCGCACGGCCCGAGCACCGCTCCGCGGTGCTCTCCTCGCTGGTTAGTAGATACATTTTTTTAAACACCCTGTACTTTGGTTTTTTACACACCCTGTATATAAAAGTTATATAAGAAATACTTTTGTTGCTAAGATAACATTTTTTCTCCGTAAGGAAAATGTCAATCTTAAAGACTTCTGATGACAGTCAGAAAATGTCATAGTTTTGTGACGGTTGGAGAAAAAACAATGCTGTTTGGAGGACACTGCTAAAATTCGATCTAAGTGAAAATCGAGTTGATATTTAATTCTTATATAATCTAATGATCATCTTCAGCCAAGGTTTCGCTGCAATGATTCGAAAATATATCAAAAAACAACAATCACATCTAATATAATTTTTGAGTTACAATCTTAAACTCAATACTGATCCCAACTTTCTAGTTCTTTTTTAAATACTTATTTATGATGCACATTTTTTGCAGGAAAATACCTCCTCTTCACAATGTTGTTGTGCACACTCTCAGTCGTTATCACCATAGCCGTTTTGAACGTAAACTTCAGGTCGCCAGTGACGCACAAGTTGGCCCCATGGGTGCGAGCCTGCTTCATCGACTTCCTGCCCAAGTTCCTGTTCATTGAGAGACCCAAGAAAGACGACGACGACAAGGGGCAGGACAGTATGTTAACGGACGTAATCCAGGTGCCCATAATGGACAAGTGTAAACCCTTCGAGAAGACATCCTTCGACAGCTTCGATTTAGGTGGGTAGTGACTATCCATACTTTAATTCTAATTTCAACTCAAAAAAATATGATTTACTTACTGTCTCCTTAACTGTTTTTATTTGAAATCTGTTAGGTACATAAATATATTATAAATAAATATATTTACGATATGCCGGCCCAGCATGAAAACGAAAGTTTTCCGTAATCAATCTGTAACGACGTCGTATAACAATTATTTATAAAAGCAGATGGATTGTCAAATTGATATTACAATTTTAATACACTATTTTAATTATTTGATACAGGGTGGGCCACCAGTAACGCCTCGGTCGCTAGGGACCAAACGGCAAATGTTACAGAAACCTGTTTAGGTGGGTATGTGTAGATTGATTACGGCTACATTTTAAAAAAATTTTGAGATATACAAGGTGTCCAGGAAAAGCGTACCATATCAAAGTTATGTATTTTTAAATGGAACACCCTGTATTTTAATGCATTTTTGAAAGCACCGTCAAAAATTAGGTGAACTTTATTAAAGGTTCTGCATACCCAGAACTTACCGTTTGTGAGATATTTCAATTTTAGTGAAAATGCAGGCATAGCGTAGAAATTTAATACAACAATAAAAAAATAATTTTAAGGAAACAGCTTTGGAGTGTCTATTTTAGATCCTTGAAGTTATAAATTGTCATATTTGTCGTCACTTATACTCGACGGCCGAAAATATAGAGAGTGATTCATCGCTAGCTCTTGGACTAGTAAGGAGGATGAGGCGTACGGGGATCAAAAATCCATAGGCGTGTATACGTAAAAGGCAACAAGGTGTAGAAGATATGGAAAAAATATAATAAAACATAACATCTATTATTTTTAGAGGTTTTATCGAGAAAACTTCAAAAATATTTTAGTAACATTTTGTTTTTAAATTTTAAGTGTTTTCTATAAAACGATGCCCTCTTGGCTTACTCCGCCGCAAAATATTGTAATGTTTACTATTGATATATTTATTTAAGTAGGTACTTACATATTTTATAATAATTATCTCACGAATATTATCACTGTCACACTTTCACTTCACTGCCACATAATCACTTCACTATTAATATATTTAAATACTTACATATCACATTATTCACATTATATATTTCACATATCACTGTTGCTATCACTATCACTAGAATCATCTTCACCCAAATGAATAATGACTGGTTCTATGAACACTTCTACCGTTGTATCAAGATCCCACATACGTTGTTCCTCTTTCTGTGCATGTCCAATACACTTACACCATGTTTCAGCAGTGACGTGATTAATAGCATCCTGTAATAATAATTTCACGTCGTTTATTTTAAAGGTGGTGTTTTTTCGTGCGATTTCATTCTTTATTTGTGCCCAAACCAACTCAATTGGGTTTAATTCACAGTGGTATGGCGGTAAACGGAGTACACGAATTCCTCGATCTTTGGCCATCTCATCCACTACATACTTAATGTATTGACCTTTTTCTCTTTGGACAATTTTTAATAATTGTACTTTTAGCATGGTTTCTGTATATTCAATATTTTTCGATTGTAACCAGTCCATAATATTTCCTTTTCTCCATGCTGATGTCGGTAACATTTCAACTCTTCTACTATGATAAGGTGCGTTATCCATCACAACAACTGCTCCTGGCTCCAGATATGATAAAACATATTCAAACCATTTTTCAAACACGTCGCTGTTCATATCTTCATGATAATCTCCCGTTTTTCGTGACTCAAATACATGCAAACCATTTTCTAAAAATCCCGTATCGCTTCCAATATGTGTTATAATCAATCTTCGTCCTTTTCCAGAAGGTGCCTTTAATCCAGTAGAAAATCCATCTAAAAATGCTTGTCTCTTACTCTTAACATTACCATCCTGCCAAACTTTTGATACAGTATGACCTTCGTTTACCCATGTTTCATCCATGTAATATATCTTCTTACCAGATGCACGAAGTTCTCTTATTTTTTCTAAGTATTCTCTTCGCCATACCACAATTTCGTCTTTTTCAACGAGCATACTATTCCGATTCCGTTTCAAATATCGAAAATTCATGTCACGCATTATTCTTCTAAGAACCTTATCAGAGAAATTAGGAATATCCTCATCTTCAGCTATTGCAGCTTGAATTTTCTTTATCGTTGGTATTTCATTTCTAAAGAAAAATCCATGAATTTTCCTACGTATGGAGTATTTCACGTCAACGTCGACTTCTATTTTCTTCCTCCCTCGTGTTTCCACTTTTTTCTTCTTTGGATTCACTTCTACACTATTTTTTATGGCACGATAAACAGTAGCAACGGATACTTTTGTCAACGAACTACACATATCAACAGCTTCACTTACACTTGTATTAGAATTTCGCGACCGAATTCCTTTATACACGTTTTTTACCATTATTAATTCCGCATCGCATAGGTTAGGGCGTTTATGAGCAACAGACCGTTTGCTACAACCGGCACTTTGATCCATTTTAATTATTATTCCTACGTTTTAAAACGTCCCGATTGTATTTTTTTAATTTATAAATTTACTATAGTCACGGAATATGCAAACCCTCGCGCGCGCTTATAGTTTGACGTTTCTAACTACGGCTAACTCGAATTCTACGTACGTCCGTTTACACCCACTAAAAAGAGCATTTCCCTATCTGTAATAAGTGCGATAGACAGAGATAGGAAATAAATCGCGTTCAGTGTAACTCAGTCTATGACTGTTATAGATCCTATCGATGTGCAAAGAGAGCGGCACATCATTTAACATAAGCAAATAATATTGAACCGTTATAAAAATCATTTTAAGTTTTATACACTTTACGGTAATAGTGTTTCTATATTATGTATGAATATCTATCTATATTTTCGGCCCTGGAGTATAGTATTATATAGGGTGTTCAAGTACTGCTGAATACTTCTCTCAACTTTAAACAGCAATGACTTGGTTATTTCAAATGGGACACCCAGTATATTTTTACTTTGAGAGTTAGGAAATTTAAAACTCTTTCAAACTGTGTATAGGTTCCCTATACCTATCTCAAACGGTATTGGAGATATTTGTGCCGTTTCGTTTTTTATCTAATTTTTAAGAAGTGAATCTTATGTGTGGAAGGGCGAAATGGGCGGTGACTATTAGACGCCTTCATTGTAGCCATCTTTCTTAATATGATAATTTTAATTGTTTTTTTTGCTTCTAAATTATTTCGAAGGTATTCAGTTTAGATTTAGCTGCAAATATCAATTCATTGGATTCAGACTACGTAAACATTCATGTTTATATTGTAGTTTATAGATTTCCACCAATTATGGTTCCAAAACTTATTTAGTTCTTCCTCAACGTTATTAGTCTTGGGTATTCGATCTGAAGTTAATTATGAATACGAGTTCAAAATATATATTTAACTTCTGAATAAGGCAAAAATAATAAATCAATTCATAGGGTGCTTTTAGCTAATGGTCGGACTAGTTCAGTCAAATGTCTTTAAGTCAAACAATTCGCTGAACGGGCTTATTAACTGTTCCACCTTGCCTTGTGTTTAGTCTGTTTTGCACACAAAACAACACAGTTTTTGTTTGTGGTTTCATAACCTTTCATAAGATGCAAATCCTATAATTTGATTTTACTGTTCATAAATTAATTGCAAATCATATTTTATTATCAATTTGTTCCAGATTAGCAGATAATAAAATATATTTTTATAGAGTATTGACACAGAAGGCAGACGGTCATACTCCCTGAACAATCCTGACCACTGTAGTCACATTTTAAAATCTGCCCAATATTCCCAATCAACTGATTGAGCTGACCAACGAAATATTTGTCCGCTGAACGACTTTGACCGGTCCGACCATTCGCTGAATGCAAAATGTTAAGTATTATTATAATTCATAATAAACGAAAAATAAAAATATATTTTATCTTCTGCGATCTGGAACAAATTGTTAGAGTCCGCTAAAATGGTAGTGTAGCAGATTTCGCTTGGCCTTGACAATCGGCGAGGCGTTGGCATAATATTGCAGACTTTGCGTTTAGTCTTTTGTAAACTATAAATGAGATCACCTTAGAAATGCTTAAGGAAGTATTATTCAGTCAGTTGGTTACTGTATCAAGAGGCGTTGGCATAATATTGCAGACTTTGCGTTTAGGCTTCTGTAAACTATAAATGAGATCACCTTAGAAATGCTTAAGGAAGTATTATTCAGTCAGTTGGTTACTGTATCAATGGATAGACCGAGCTTGATCTGTATATCTTTTCCTAATTAAAATAGTTTGTTTGAACTCGGTGGTGTCTTTTACAACCCTATTCATCTTATATATCAGAAGTGGGATATCTGCCCTAAATTCACCCACAGTATAGTGACGTTTGTGTTAGCAGTACATCATGTCTGTAAGGGAAACTACAACGCCGTCTCTTTCCCTGCGCCCGGGTCTTTCGACGTCAACAACAGTGTGTCAGTCAGTTATACAAGCGGAAAAGGCGTTAAGTGTAGCTAAACGCCAACGGGCCAGTTCTACAAGTTCGACGTCGACTTCGACATCGAGTTCTTCAACTAGCGACAGTAAGCAGCAGAAAAGACGAAGGACAAAAAGGCAAAGACATTCAAATCATCATAGGCGTTTTCCTTCCCACCCAAGTTATAGTGATGAAAAGTTAATACCTACGTTTGATCCGCAGAGTGCAGAACAATCGATAGATTTCTGGCTTCGCAAAGTTGATGAGTTAGCGGAATCCTATAGATGGGACGATTTAACGGTGATAAAATTAGTCGCAAATAGACTGAAGGGTATGGCTAGAAGGTGGTACGATTCGCAAGATCACCTGACCATAAGTTGGAGAAAAATGAAGAAGTTGCTAATTAAACAATTTACAAAACCGCTGCCGTTTGCTAAATTGCTTCGAGAAGCTGCATTGTACGAAACACGCGGAGGTCAAGATTTAAGTGAATATTGTTATAATAAATTAGA